CACTCAAATAACCTGACCTTGAGAGGAGGGAACCTGAAGTGCTAAAATGCTAACTCATTCCCGCAAGAGTCTTTTGTCTGTTTCATGTATTTATAATGGCGCTTTGATGAAGGTTTGACATTAGGGTAGATTTATAACCCAGCATGCAACATGTGAACGCCTCACATAGCTTTGACCTCACCCAGTACAACAAGAACCATCTGGCTAAGCTAAACGCAGCTAATGTTTGGTGTGATGACGTTTAGTAGTCTCAGTTAGCCGCTTGTTAGTAACCACTGTTTTTAAGACACAGACATTTACGAGTGGGATGGATTTACCAACATGTTTCATGTTGTAGCACAAAATATCAAAATCTCTTAAGCTTGTGTTAACCACAGACATTTTACCACAAACACACTCAAAGAACCTGGCCTTGAGAGGAGGGAACCTGAAGTGCTAAAATGCTAACTCATTTCTGGTTTAAGGACTTATTCCCGCACCAGTCTTTTGTCTGTTTCATTATAATGGCAGGAGGACATCAGACTATGAAGTTGTTCAGTCTGCAGTGAAATCTAGTAGAAAGTCCTTCTCCTGCTGAGCAGCACAGTGTGAAATGAACAGAAATGTGTTTTTAAACTGTCTTTGATGAAGAGACACATTAGGGTGGAGTTATAACGAAGCATGCAACATGTGGACGCCTCACATAGCTTTGACCTCACCCCGCACAACAAGAACCATCTGTACGAATATAAAATAAAGCCCAGAGACAGACCGAGGGGATGGAAAACATCAGAAAATAAATCTGTAAATCAACGGCACAAATGAAGACCCGCTCTCGTCACAAACCCACGCAAAACTCATGAGCACTTCACTGCAGACTACACAAACACCAGACCCGCTGCCAAAGAACACATACTTGTTTCAGATCCAGTGTGTGAGTTAGCAGCCATCTGGATCGTATTGTTGTGGAGGAGGTGGCAAGAGAGACGACTTACGATCATATGATGCTATGTGGTACTGTTGGTACACTTTCAAGTCTGTTCACCCAGGTTGACCCTCATTTCATCGCAGCTTCCTCCCCTCTTATTCTACTCCTTACTTTGACTCCAGATCTCCCCTTTTGCTCAAGATGCAACGACGGACACAAAGAAGGGCCCTGAAGCTAAATGTCTGCAGCTCTGCCGATGTAAATGTGAGGAAATGAGTTTAACAGGAATGAATTTAGCAAGAACGGTTCGCCTACGCGTACAGACTCATAAAATGTGGAGGAAAATATTTAAACATTTATTCTCCAGCTAGTTAAAGTTGGTACTTTAACTTTTAGTAAGTGGGGAGAATTGTGTAATTTACAATGTGCGTGTGTGTGTGTGTGTGTGTGTGTGTGTGTGTGTGTGTGTGTGTGTGTGTGTGTGTGTGTGTGTGTGTGTGTCTTTAAAATCTGTGTATTTGTTTGTGTTGGTAGTGTTACAGAGTTAATATTAATGTTATATTGAATTTGTACGTGTGTGTGTTCCCTGTGTCTCTGTTTGTGTCCCTGTGTGTGTCTCTGTGTGTCTCTGTGTGTGTCCCTGTGT